GAGAGGGAAGATGGGGTAAGGAGGGGAGGAAGGGAAAGAGGAGGATAAAGAATGAACTAAGAAAGTGAGGAGGAAGAAAGGAAAGAATGTCGGAGGGGAGGAAGGGAAAGAGGAGGATGAAGAAGGAACTAAGAAAGGGAGGAGGAAGAAAGGAAAGAATGTCGGAGGGGATTGGGGGAGGAGGAAGAGAATTAGGAAAAGGAAGAAGAGAAGAAGTGTTGTTTCTTGACCTTACAATGTTGTATATGTTGCTGGCAGGTGTACTGACCAAGATGCAGGTGTCAAGATGCAGGTGTACTGGCAAAGGTGCAGGTGTAATGCCCAAGACGGTGTACCGACCAAGGTGCAGGTGTCAGCAACAGGTGTACCAAGATCCACCTACCGACCTGGAGTCTACCTGGACAGTGTTCCGAGTGTCAGCGCCCATGCGGTCTGGTCCCAGACCAGGTAGACGACTCGATCAACCAGGCTGTTGGTGTTAGTCGTACGAAGTCCAACGTATGCACAGCCCGGCTGATCAAGATACTGACTTGAACTAGGAACTAGCCAGGCTCCCTCTTGAAGACAGCTAGGGGTCTGTTGGCAATCCCCTTATGTATGAAGGGAGGGTGTTGAAAAGTCTTGGTCCCTTCACACTTATTGAGTATCCCTTAGTGTACATATTGCACTTAGGCAATTCATTAAGAGTATTTTGCACCGTGTGCAGAAACACCCATCACTCATCCTGCCAACACAACACCCATCACTGATTCAGCTAACAACAACCATCACGCTAAAACCGTAGAGTCGTACACCTGCGGAATGGGAGGTAATCAGTTTTGATCCAAGAAGAGGGAGGTAGCCCGAATTCTTTAGATCAAGAGTCCTTCATCATCAAGCACTCGGTAAATCTGACAATTTCCTTCCACATAGTTACAAGGCCACTCAGTGAAGGATGGATGAAAAGTAGAATGATGTGATGGAAGTCAACTCACAACTCGGAACACAACACATACAACACAACACATACATAAAAGTACACAAACACATACACATGCACTGAAATACACAAAGAAGCACACACACGCGCGCGCACACACACGCACACACACACACACACACACACACACACACACACAACCACACACACACGGTACATTTCACAGCTTAACCTCCTCTACTGCTGCACATTGTTTTCCCTCATAATTCTGGTATTTATACACGACACATTCCTGTATACACACATGTTGCTAAATTGTGCTGGTCGCAGATTTACTGTTATTGTTATTATTGTTCTTTTTGTTGCTGCTGTTGCTATTGTTGCTGCTGATGTTGTTGGTTGTTACTGTGTGGTTGTTGTCGGTAGTGCTGTTGCTAGTTTTAATATTGCTGCTTCAGCTGTTGTTGAATTTCTTGTTGTGGTGGTGGTGGTGGTGGTGGTACTGCAGCTTCTGCTGTTCTTGCTGGTATTTGTGTTGTGTTTGTTACTAGTATTGTTGTTGCTGCTGGTATTGTTGTTGCTGCTGGTATTACTGCTCCTCTGCTGCAGCTGTTGTTGCTGCTGCTGCTCGTGTTGTAGTTTTTCTCGATACTATTTACAACACTGTTACTCTTAACTTTATTATTTATATAATAATCATTCTATTAGCATCATTATTTATCATTAATATCATTATTGCTTTCTTATCCTCCACTTTATTTGCCTCACTATCGCTAAATTAGTTATGCTGGTGATAAAGTGGACAATCTGAATGCAAGAGTGCCATGCCACGATGGAATAATGCCAGAGTGAAACAGTGATGACAAGAATGGAATACGACTAGAATGTCAGTAAGTTCGAAATCATAGTAAGAGTTTAAGAACAGAGCAGAAGAATACCAAACGAAAGTCAACAAAAATATTGCGTAGAACACTTTTGATAAAAATCCGTCAAGAGAGAGGAAGTGAGGTAGACCTGATGAGGGGCAATAATGCTCTTGAAACAAGGAAGTGGTGCTACCTGGCTGTCTTCAAGAGGGAACCAGACAAGGACCTAAAGTCAGTTCCTGATCAGCCGGGCTGTGGTTCGTACGTCGGTTTGCATGCGGCCAGCAGTAATAACCTGGTTAATAAGGCCCTGATCTCTGGTTGGGACCTGGCCGCGGGGGCGTTGACCCCCCGAAACACCCTTTAGGTATATTCCAGTGTGAGAGGTGGCAGCAGAGTGCCACTGCCACAAGGAACACCAACAGCAACAAAAGGCTTGCCTGCCAGCTCCTAGCTTCCACAGCACCACCTGGGCCAAGACCTAAACGCTCATCCTGACGATTATTTTCCGATACAGACACAGGGTCGATGTTAGGGTGGCTCGGCGGGTTTACAGCCCAGAAATATGAGAGGTTGAGTCTCGTAAAGTGGAGAGAAGCCTAGCGAGGGAGGGCCAGGTAAACAGTTTTACATGTTGGGGCAAAAACTAGAAAAATGACACAATCAACACTGCCTTATGTCAAATGTAAGTGAATATTGAAGTGTTTCATCACAGTAAGTATATTCTGAAGTGTTTCATCACAATCGGTGTATTAGTACTAAAGTGTTGAATTTGATAATCACTGTTAAAGCTTCATGTAACGGTCACCCACCCGACTGTCTTTGCAACAGGAAAATAATATTTAGGAGGATGTGCTGGAAACAGAGGGTCATTCAGGACATATGAAGCTTAGCCAATAAATATAATTTTCTCTCTCAATCAATGGTTCAATAAAATGATCATGTGTATATACACATACATAATAGACAAGTTTACTTTCTGTTATCGAAATGCTCGGGCATGTTAGTGGCTTTTTTTGTGCTTAACAATATTGAAGAACATGTAAGTCACACACTGTATACTATGCAAAGAAATAAAAAAATGAATTTGAATGGGTATTGTGAACCATGACTTCACAGGCCTGGAGTATTCCCTAGCCTAGTAGCTGGTGCACAAGGATATATACACCGAAGGGTGTATATATCCATGGCTTCGCCAGGCCTGGAGTATTCCTTACCCTAGTAGCTGGTGCACAGCAAGGATATACACACGGAAAGGTGAATATAAACTTCTCCGTGTATATCTTTGGCAAATTAGTTGGTCGGCTGGTGAATCGTTTAAATAAAACTGCCATGCTGTTGACAAACAAGGGGATACATTATTAACCTCAATTATATCTCAAAAATCTCAACACTAAAATTTTACTACAACAAATAAGTAAAAAAAAAAGAATCCTACTGAAGTATTGCATCAAAAAAACATTTCATATTTATAACTGAGCAGCAGAGTGTGAATAATATTAATTGGCAGCTCATAAAAGCTTTACAAGTGCGACAGACAAAAAAAGTTTTAGTTTGCCCAACAATGCTTTAAGCTGGTGGTTCCACCGACTTTCCACAAATTGTGGTTTATTTCGCAATTATTAGGGTAATGTGGTTAACTGGGGGACATAGGCGGATTGCCCAAAAGTAATGAAGAAAAGGCACAGGTACAGAAAGGGCACGGGCACATAAAAGGTTTCCATTAGTTACGGGAAGATGTGAATTAGTAGTCCTTGGTGGACGAAACGTCACCATAATATGCCATGGTGATTAAGACATGTACAATAGTTAGGTATCTTTATTGTTGAAACATTTCGCCTACACAGTAGGCTTTTTCAGTCAAATACAGCTCATGGATCTGAACTCTGCTCCAGGCTGAGGGACTGACCACCTCAAATATTATTTCTCCAGGGATGGTGTACTGATTGAATCATCTTCATTTTGACTGAAGAAGCCTACTCTGTGGGTGAAACGTTTCAACAATAAAGATACCCAACTGTTGCACATGTGTCTTAATCATCAACTGTTCGGTATTTTATACCATTTTCAATAAAATGCCATAACCAGCATTGTGTGTTTTATTTACTCACCTAGTTTTGTGCTTGCCTAATTGTTTTTGTAGGTGTCGAGACACAGCTCCTGACCCTGCCTCAAACTTCAATGATGTTTAGCTTCCACTTACCACACTGACAATGAAATAGTAAAACCTTAACTTCTGGAACTTTAGCTCATCCGCCTCATTAACTGCCATCTACGTCCCCCCTGCTTCCCTCTCCTCTCTTCACAGTTGTATCTATATTTAATCCAAGGAGTATTTTGTATGTCATGATCATATTTCCCTCTCCTCTCTTCACAGTCTGTATCTATATTTAATCCAAGGAGTATTTTGTATGTCATGATCATATTTCCCTGGTCCTATCTTCTAGTGATGTCTCTCGAAATCCCTTTCATTTACGGCACCAATCTCGTTGTTGCATGTTTTGGTCTGTTATTGCCTAGTTATTTAGTTCGGTTTACGTAGTTTGAGTTCAGCTGTTGGGGCTGAAGACACTGCATTTCCCACCTTTAGAACCAAAACATTTCAACCCATCGTTCAGAGTGTAAGTACTGTACTTCCCCCACTAGAACCACAACACCCCCACTCAACCATCAGTGAAAACATTGTACTTCCCCACCTCTAAAACAACATCCCCACCCATCCAGCAGAGTGCAAACTCTGTACTTCCCCACCCCTAGAACCACAACATCGCCACCTATCCATCAGTGAAAACACTGTACTTCCCCACCTCCAGAACCACAACATCCCCACCCATCCATCAAAGTGCAAACACTGTACTTCCCCATCTCTAGAACCATAACATCCCCATCCACCCATCAGAGTGCAAACACTGTACTTCCTCAATTCTAGAACCACAACATCCCCACCCATCCATCAAAATGCAGGTACTATACTTGGTTGGAAAATAAAAACACACAAAGTTTAATAATATCATACTGCCATAAAGCGCAAAAGTTGCATGGGTTATTCCATGCAGTGGAATATACAGTACAGACAAGTTGATGAATAAGGCAAATAAAGATACCAAAGTGTCTGAAAGAAATTAAATATACCTAAACGTTGCACATGTGTCTTAAAGACAAAGATACCTAAGTGTCGCATATGTGTCTTGCTCGTACACTGTCAGGGTACTTACCACGGCAGCAGGTACGTAGGTGGGTATAGTCTCGAAGTACTGCAGAGACGAGGTGTACGACCTAAGCACGAAGTAGATGATGAGGTAGAAAGTACCCAGCAGGACGGCCGAGGTGCCACAAGTGCCACACAGCAAAACGTACTTCCTGTTCCAGCTCTTCCACCAGGGACGGGAACGATCTGAAATACAATTATTGCTATTATTATTAATTATTATTACTTCAACGAACGGGCCATATCCCACTTAGTCAGGGTGACCTAAAAAGAAAAACGCAAGTTTTTCTTTTTAAATTTAGTAATTTATACAGGAGGAGGGGTTATTACCCCCTGTTATTATATTATTATTATAATTATTAGTATAGTCAGAGAAGTGCTAATCCTGTAAGGTACATAGTGTCTGTGTCTGGAGGTAATCAGGTTTGATCCGAGGAAGAGGGGAGAAGTTCCACTTCCCTAAATTAAGAGAGTTCTTCACCTTTCAAGGCAACCCTCCTTGAAGCTTGTTTTGCCAAGCGTTCCCTTAAAGACTGAGGACTGACGCCTTCCCCCCTCGAATAAATCTGACATTAACCATGAAGGACAGATAGCAAATGTGTGTCTGAGCAGACAGAGGATCGAGTCTTTACCACACATGATATATACACTGAGAGGCTATATAGTCGGCAATCTTACGGCTATTCTACAGTATATAGCGAGAATTTTTTTTTTTGACAAATGCAACTGAAGAAGTGTATACAAAATTGAATAGTACGTAGTATGAAGACCTTTCCACGTGCCGGTTAGTTTTGGATGTTCTTTTTCAATCACAGCTCAGAGAGCTGACTTATACACACTGGGAGTGCGAGATGTCATCACTGGGTGTAAGAGATGTCATCAAGGGGCGTGGGAGATGTCATTACTGGGAGTGAGAGACATCACAGAGGACTGCGAGATATCATTACTGGGGAGTGCGAGACGTCATCAGTGGGGAGTGCGAGACGTCTTCACTGGGAGTGCTAATGCCAGCTTGTTTAATTATAAACTGAAAGTACCAGTTTGTACTTGTTGCTCAAGAGAAATGTGCCTAAATGCATTCACTTAGGACGCCTTTATTGAAACCGCTTCGGTTCTTGGATCTTGATCTCTCCAAATACACGTAACTGAAGTATTCAAGGTCCCAGAACAGCAATATCTTCATTCAAGATGTCTCAATTGAATGTATTCTAGCTCATATTCCTCAAACTGTCGACAGTTATTTGCCTTCTTACCATACGTTGTAGATCAGGGGTTGGCAACGTTGTTCAGGGTCCATGTCTGGGAACGCATGGCGGGGCACACCTATCGCCATAGTTAATAAATAAGAGTTAATAATACATACTAAACTTTGACATATATTTAACATCATTTGGGCCGTAGGTTGCCGACCCCTGTTGTAGATAAATGGTTAAGAGAACCAACAGGATGATGGATTAGATGGAGTGATGGAGTCACTCACAACACGAGGTGGTGGTCGTACACAACACTGCATTGACCCCACACCTGTGTTAGTAATGGAATCACTCACAACACAAGGTGGTGGTCGTACACAACACTGCATTGACCCCACACCTGTGTTAGTGGAGTCACAGCACAAGGTGGTGGTCGCACACAACACAGCATTGACCCCACACCTGTGTTAGTGGAGTCACAGCACAAGGTGGTGGTCGCACACAACACTGCATTGACCCCACACCTGTGTTAGTGGAGTCACAGCACAAGGTGGTGGTCGCACACAACACAGCACTGACCCCACACCTGTGTGTGTGTCACTGGAGGGAGGAGGATTAAGGAGAGAACCGTGAGATCTGCCAAGGTGGCGGTGAAAATAAAAGAAGCAAGTATTGCACGTTGTACCAACCCATAACAAAATGAAAAAAAATAAACAGGATGTATGTGGAAAGCTGCAGGTGTGATACTGGGAATGGGACTAGAGACTACTTTTGCGTGTGTGTGTGTGTGTGCGTGTGTCTGGAGCGGGGGAGGCAACCAGGTTCGACCCAAGGAAGGGGAAGGCACTTCGAATTCTTTGAATCAAGAACCCTACGCTAGCATCGAGCCCCCCCCCCCCCCATCCCCTCTCGGTGTGTTTATGGGACACAGCAGCAGGGGCAAGCAGCGTGGAAACATATTGCGCCACCTGGCAATATGGCGAAAGAAATAAAAGAGTACAAAATACGAAATGAAAAACTGAGGAAGATAAAAGCGTAGGAGCGAGATTAAAGCAAACTTTATTATATTTGTGAACGTGGCGGCAAAATGCCAGGGGGCGGACGGGTGGTGCAACTTATGTAAAGGTGGTTAAGGTGTTGATGCAGCCTATCTGAGGTGGTTAAGGTCCTGGTGCAGCCTGTCTGAGGCGGTTAAGGTGCCGGTGCAGCCTGTGAGGCGGTTAAGGTGCCGGTGCAGCCTGTCTGAGGCGGTTAAGGTGCCGGTGCAGCCTGTCTGAGGCGGTTAAGGTGCCGGTGCAGCCTGTCTGAGGCGGTTAAGGTGCCGGTGCAGCCTGTCTGAGGCGGTTAAGGTGCCGGTGCAGCCTGTCTGTGGCGGTTAAGGTGCCGGTGCAGCCTGTCTGAGGCGGTTAAGGTGCCGGTGCAGCCTGTCTGAGGTGGTAAAGGTGCCGGTGCAGCCTGTCTGAGGCGGTTAAGGTGCCGGTGCAGCCTGTCTGAGGCGGTTAAGGTGCCGGTGCAGCCTGGGTGAGGCGGTTAAGGTGCCGGTGCAACCTGTCTGAGGCGGTTAAGGTGTTGGTGCAGCCTGTCTGAGGCGGTTAAGGTGTTGGTGCAGCCTGTCTGAGGCGGTTAAGGTGTTGGTGCAGCCTGTCTGAGGCGGTTAAGGTGTTGGTGCAGCCTGTCTGAGGCGGTTAAGGTGTTGGTGCAGCCTGTCTGAGGCGGTTAAGGTGTTGGTGCAGCCTGTCTGAGGCGGTTAAGGTGTTGGTGCAGCCTGTCTGAGGCGGTTAAGGTGTTGGTGCAGCCTGTCTGAGGTGGTTAAGGTGTTGGTGCAGCCTGTCTGAGGTGGTTAAGGTGTTGGTGCAGCCTATCTGAGGTGGTTAAGGTGTTGGTGCAGCCTATCTGAGGTGGTTAAGGTGTTGGTGCAGCCTATCTGAGGTGGTTAAGGTGTTGGTGCAGCCTATCTGAGGTGGTTAAGGTGTTGGTGCAGCCTATCTGAGGTGGTTAAGGTGTTGGTGCAGCCTATCTGAGGTGGTTAAGGTGTTGGTGCAGCCTATCTGAGGTAGTTAGGGTGTTGCTGCAGTATATCTGAGGTAGTTAGGGTGTTGCTGCAGACTATCTAAGGTGGTTAAGCTTAGTATTGCTGCAGCTTAGATCTCGTCCGCACCACTTTATGAATAACCTAAATTTATATTTTCTTGATCCTTTACATTTCCTTGTTCATTTGTAGTTACTTCTTGATCGTATATATTCAATTACTATTTTTTTTTTTACTTTTTGAAAATTTATACTACTTGATAATCTGTATTTATTCTTTGATTTATCTTCACTATCATTTATATACACTTTCTGATCATTATTAGTCGATGTATATTCTCTTATTGATCATTTATATTCACTTGCCATTTACGTTCGTTTATCATGTTTTAATTTTTTGAACATTTATATTCAATACTTCATAATTGATATCCATTTCTTTGTAGCTTATATCCACTTCTTCTCGATTTATATTCACGTCATGATTTACATTCCCGTCTTGATTTATATTTACTTTTATTGATTAATATTCACTTCTTGATCTCATATATTTTATTCTTCAATAATTTCACACTTGAAAAGGGTGAATTGCGAGCAGCTGAAAGAATAGGCATTGATAACACATAGCAAACCCAGGCTTTCCTAAGAGAACATGTTTCGCCCTAAATAGAATAAAACCTCTGGTACGTGTGTTGTATATTGCGACAAAATTTCTAAATGCATTACTGAAAAACCAGACTATGAAAAAAAAGATCCTCTGCCAGTGTTATCGTGAGATTTCTACCTTATTCAGTTACTCAGGCTCTGGTATGGTCACACGGTAATCTAACAGAACAACTTAAAAAGGTAGTTCTCGTAATTTTTTTCACGGAGTAGACTAGCAGGCCAGTGGAAGGCCTCAGTCAAATGACCAAAAATTCCGGAGAATAAAAAGGCATAATATCGTGACTGGAACAATTCACATGCAGCCCGCACACAGGAGACTGAAATTAGTTAATGGTCTAAGTTAATGTCTTGTTAATGGTCCAAGTCGGACCGAAATGTCGTAAGTTTCAGTCTCCTATGAGCCGCACGGTTATCTGTGTACCAGAAGTTCCGTTGGGCAAGTCGTATGACAGCTTCTGCCAGGAAGAAATTTTGATATTTCTCCTGGCAACAAAAATTAATAGTACTACACAACTACTATATTATTACTACTATATTACAATTACTACTAGACTACTACCACTACTACTATTATTATTACTACTACTGGTCGTTGGTTAAAGGGGCTTAAAAGTCTATCGAATACACGAGGATCATAAAGGCTGTACATCACCTGTACACCACCTGACAAGAACAATTTTAATCCCTAAAGTAGGGATTAAAGTAAACTTTCAACATATATACAAAGAGAAATGACAAACTTGTGCAACACCTAAGTTACTGGGAACGGTTGAAGCTTCTTGATCTGTATTCACTGGAACGCAGGCGAGAGAGATACATGATAATGTATACTTGGAAGGTCCTGGAGGGATAGGTACCAAACCTGCACACGAAAATCACTCGCTATGAAAGCAAAAGACTCGGCAGGAGATGCAACATTCCCCCGATGAAAAGCAGGGGCGCCACGAGTACATTGAGAGAACACAATACGTGTCCGGGGCCCAACTGTTCAATTGCCTCCCAGCATACATAAGAGGGATTTCCAATAGACCCCTGGATGCCTTTAAGGCACTGGACAGGTACCTAAAGTCAGTACCTGACCAACCGGGCTGTGGTTCGTACGTCAGCTTGCGTGCGGCCAGCAGTCACAACCTGGTTGATCAGACCCTGATCCACAATGAGGCCTGGTGTCTGACCGAGCCGCGGGGGCGTTGACCCCCGAAACCCTCTCCAGGTAAACATTTGGGTATCTTTATTCCGGAAACGTTTCGCCAGCCAGTGATTTCTTCAGTCCAACAAAGTAAAGAACGGCGGAAGATG